CACACGTGCAGTGGGGATAACCCAATAGCGATAGCCTTAGAGGGCTGCGCCTATACTCATAGAAGCTGGGTTACATTACGTAACCCCAGATCTGCAGACTGGTGGCCATTGAGAGTTTTGTTTCTGTAGTTTTAAAACAACTTTACAAATTTGACATATTTGGCACTGGTTTTAAATATGTAAAGGCCTCTAACTTCGTTGTGATGGCAGCATTTATTTGCTGTCCCCCCATTTCCCATGGTAATATGGCTAATGTGTTTATTTATTATTTGGGGGGCAATTTAAATTTGTGTTATTTATCTTTTTTTTCAAGATTGAAATGAAGCTCAGCGCAAGTTCTTTCAGGAAGACTGGGTGTATATACATTCACTCCGCAGCTGCATATAATCAGCTCATCACAGGCGTTCTCTTTAACCTATTATATTTCACCTCATTCTCCAGCAGCCAATCAACGTGCCGCAGCCAAACTATAAAATGGTTCTCCTCTCTCCTGCAGTCAGCTGTGATTTCAGGTGGTCATGCACCTTATCATATGGCATGTGTCAATAAATGTTCAAACAAAATGAATTATCTCCTCATTGAAACATCATGTGTTGAAATAAACAACTGCAGTTCAAAATAAAAAGTGAATTGCCTAATATCTTTGTTGTGGAATCAATTAATTTCTTTCTTTAAAGGCAAAAACATGAAAAAGCTAAGAAAAAAAACTATTGAATACAATATATTTGGAGCAACTTAATTTATAAATGGTTGTCAACTTAAAAACGTGTGTTCACAATGATGGTAATTAAGTACATACAACTTAAAAGTTGGAACAACTTAATATTTTGAGTAATCAACTTCAAAACTTGTGTTTATGCTACCAATTATTAAGTAAGTGGTAATTAAAAACACCTCTGATTGTAGAGGAAAAGCCTTCTCCCCTAACTCAAATAACTTTGTTGCTTTAAGACAATTTCATTAGAGGTTGTCTTAACTCAATAAACATCGATGCAAACTGTTGCGTTGATTTTCTTTGTTGAGCCAAGGCATTTGTTTTTAGAGTGCACTGAAATCTCCTTTTTTGTATTTTCACAAATAGAATTAAGGTATCACAAATCTCAAACTGTGTTATAAAGAATCTTTAGACCCTCTGGGATAATCCAGTCCAGATTTGATGAGTGTAGGTCTAGTGGTTTCAGATCAGGACCTGGTCTAATGTGGTCAGGATGTGAAAAAAGCACTGAAATCTCCTTTTTTGTATTTTCACAAATATAATAAAGGTTTCACAAATCTAAAACCGTGTTATAAAGAATCTTTAGACTCTCTGGGATAATCCAGTCCAATTAAATCGGCTATGCAGCGATTTAAGAGGTTCAAACACGGAGGATTGTTCGCTCACCGTTGTAAATTAAATGTCCCTTAACTTTCCCCTTAACTGCCAAATCGGATGCTCTGAATCGGAAGCCAGGTTCAGCGTCGTTTGCTCTGTCACTCATACACTTTGATGAATAAACATGTGAAAACATTGAAACTACACCCAGGGGTTGGCAACCTTTACAATCAAAAGAGACATTTTTGTCCAGAGCCTCAAAACATAGGACAAGCCTATTAAGATCAATTTCTTAGTAGGTACTATTTCTTGTTCTTTTAGGGCTTTTTTCGACTACAAGAACTCAGCGCACCGTGCTGTGAAGTGGTAACATATTTCAAAGGTTCTGGATTTGTTTACAAATCTAGAAACTAAATACAAAACTAGGACGATATGAAGATTTCATGTCAAAATAATTGTGATAAATGAGACAGAACGGGCCAGTTAAATATTAACAATATAATAAAATAAATGGATATATATATATATACCCATTTATTTTTATTATCTACCAGCAAATATTTTATATAAATACCTTGTGTGTGTGTATAGCTATTGCTTTATTAGCTTAATGTTATTTTCATATGAAAGTCCATGATTATAAGTATGCAGTATCATAACTACATAGTTGATGTTTATAAAAGAAAATTGGTTGAAAATTGAGCAAGCTATGGTTATTTAAATAGTAAACCATAATGTTATGAATGAGAGCGCTACCTGTAGCAAGATGGCGGCCATGTGGCAACGTCGGTCTCCATTGGCCAGCAGCGCGGGTGAGTCATCTAGTGTTTATATATATCTATGTACCTGCCTGTCAGCCTTCCATCTGTGCGGCAACTTATCTCGTGCCCTCATTGGTCATGTGCGCGTTCGTGTGTGTTGGAGGAGGGGCTCTGTAAGGAAGTCTGAAGAAAGAGGCAGATTTTTTCCGGTTGTGTACTTTCAACCTATGGGATTAGTTTTGTATCATAAAGATAGACTGAATGCAAGATGAGATCACAAGCATATGTATTTTCTTTAATATGTGTTTTATAGCCTGTAAAACTGGTGTCTTGTGATATATCTATTTCTTACACAAATTGGAGGGTAGGCCTACACGTAACGGTTTTACGTAATAAGTAGGAAGCAACTCAAATCAGAATGTATATTTGCTTTTGTAGTGCAATGTCATTGTTGGTCATTGTAACATTGTTCTGTTGTCTTACAGAACACACTTAAAGGTGGGGTAGGTCATTTTGGAGAAACCAGCTAGTGCGCCAGAATTGTATGGGATTAGTTTTGTATCATAAAGATAAAGCAACACTTTTTCAGAATAAAGCAAATCTATGAGTTTAAAAGAAGAAAAAAACTGAGTCAAGCAAAATAAAATAAATTTCAAAAATAAAACTATAAGTTGCAAACAAATCATTTGTGTAATCATGTAAACTATAAGTATTTTTTCTTTGTTTTAACATAGGTTTTTGTTTGCAGTTCTTGTTTCTTCTTTCTCAATGATCAGACTTTTGCTCTCGCTGCAGCTCTCTCGTTTGCGCTCCCTCATTTTTTGTTTTCGATTTTGACACAAACATCCCAGGTGGGCGGGACTTTCAGGGGTGCGTCCCCATTGGCTACTCAGTTTTTGAGTGACAGCCCACTACACCACAGATCATACAGTGCAACTCATGCACAAACTCCGGAGTCCACTCGGCCACGTTAGTGTCGGTGTCTCCTGGGGAGTTTTATGAAAATATCGGACTTATCTTATGGATTGCTGTGCATTATACTTGTGTTGTGTAGTTTATACTTTATTCCAACTTGAAATATTTTAATACCTGAACACACTGCTGCTGTTAAATAATTTCCCAATTTGGGATTGATAAAGTGTCTGTCTATTTATTTTATAGATTAAAAAAAAACACATCTATGTATTTTCAAGCTAAAGGTGATACACAATATAAACGGTAGGCTATACTATTATTTTTCAAAGACATGTTTCAAAAGCATATATTGCTATGTTTAGGACAAACAATTAAAGACTGCTTTAATTTGACAAATTCTACAATATAAAAGTGGCAGATTTGCTTTATTAAACAGAGCAGACCTAGGCTGCATGTCAACACAATTAGGAACATGGTCACATCTTACTATGTTGGTCTGAAGAGCTGAAGCATTCATACACAATGGATAACAACGGTGTTGTTTCATTCTATATCCTGTGTGAAAATGATATACATTTAGCATTAAAAACTCTACATACTATTCCTAGCTTGAGGAAGATCTGAATAATCAACAGATTTGAATGGAATCTCTAACATTTTCATGTAGAATAAAGACAAAAGAGTGATTATACAAATTACATTTATTGAAATTTGAACCAGAAGATGAAGTCTCAAAGAATGTTTTAAATAAAAGGACATAAAAACAAAAAGGTGGATAATAATAAAATGTATTAAATGTAGGCTATATGTAAAGACATTTGGTCAAATGAAATGACACTGAGCCAGTGATAACAGCAACGCCCAGTGTGGATGAAGCTGGTGCAGTTCTTTCTTCATGCCCCCCCTCCGTGCTGTCCCCTCAGAGGAAGTGGGAAAACGGGATAAGACTCTGGATGCCACGCTATCTCAATGATCCACACTGTTAATATGAGAGGAAAATAAATGTTTTAGGAAATGAAAAATATGAAGTTAACAAATAAAACTCAGCTCAGGGGCATCATGGACGGAAGGTTTTCCTACAAAGTTAACTCAGCCTCCATTGATTTTCATATCAAATTAGCGTGTTAATAAAATAAGCTATCATGGCTTATACTTGGATATCTAAACAGAATCATGAAAGCCTGTTGGTAGAGTCAGGCACACGAGTCCGTTTGAGTGTGTGCGCCGGTGTCTGAACGCTCACTCACTGCTAGCTATGTAGCTAACTGTTAGGCTACTTAGCTTGCATTGTTATGGATCTAAAGGTAGCACAAGCTAACTTTCATAGCACAGCTTTACTTCTCACTTAACACAATAAAGAAACAGACCGTATAGCACAAACAACACAAAGGATCAATACTTACATATATTTTTACTTGTAGTAGTATTATAATAATTGAAATGCTGGTTCTTCTGGAGGTCTTCTGTCCACGCTCAGCTACCGCACCGCAGCTGCCTGCACTGTACAATCACTGGTGGACTGGGCTGTCACTCAAAAACTGAGTAGCCAATGGGGACGCACCCCTGAAAGTCCCGCCCACCTGGGAGGTTTGTGTCAGAATCGAAAACAAAAAATGAGGGAGGAGCGCAAACGAGAGAGCTGCAGCGAGAGCAAAAGTCTGATCATTGAGAAAGAAGAAACAAGAACTGCAAACAAAAACCTATGTTAAAACAAAGAAAAAAGACTTATAGTTTACATGATTACACAAATGATTTGTTTGCAACTTATAGTTTTATTTTTGAAATGTATTTTATTTTGCTTGACTCAGTTTTTTTTTTCTTTTAAACTCATAGTTTTGCTTTATTCTGAGAAAGTGTTGCTTTATCTTTATGATACAAAACTAATCCCATAGAGGAGCGAGAGAGAGAGAGAGGAGAGCGAGAGAGAGAGAGAGAGAGAGAGAGAGAGAGAGAGAGAGAGAGAGAGAGAGAGAGAGAGAGAGAGAGAGAGAGAGAGAGAGAGAGAGAGAGCAGAGAGAGAGAGAGAGAGAGAGAGAGAGAGAGAGAGAGAGATGTCTTCAGTCTGATGCGGACCTTCAGATCGGAGAGATTAGGTAAGAAATAAGTGTTTTTTCATGTAAATAATATGTTCAACTAGACTTTCTGAATTTGAGATTCTCACAGTATAGATTATATGTGTAACCTTTGCGGACTAATGTAAATCGTAGCGCTTTTTTTGATTAGTTATTAACTAAGAAAGTAATTTACAACTCACATGTCTGCGGATTCCTGTTGAATATAGATTATGTTTGAAGCGTCTTTTTTCACCTTAAAAATAATGATTTGTAATAGTTACAGTGATTTCTGGCAATTATATCTGAAGTGGCATTTTGGTGGATTCCGTTGAATGTGGATTGTTCTGGAGGGATCAATGGTTTAATATGAGGACTGAACTGTGGTCAGAATGCCTGCAGCCTCTTCAGTTATTAATAATTCATCTTATCTGTAAGTCTGTCACTCAGCACTGAGCTGGAGGACTATATTTACACTGCAGCACACAGAAATCAACCTGGCTTCAGATGACTTTTCACTGACTGTTTTCAGCAGCTCATGCAGAGCTTTATGAAATATTCATACAGTCATCATGTGTGGAGTCAGCTTCTGAAATATGAATATCCACAGGTAGTATAACGCTATAAGAGAATGCTCAGGTGCTGTACACGTGTTTTACATATGGAAATAGCAGATATAATATATAAATATTAAATCACAGCATCATGCACATGACAAGACAATAATATCAGCAACAACAATTGCATTACATATTTTTATATAACTTCTATTTAGTCATGACTTTGTTAGTGAATTGCAGCAGTGACCACTTCTGTTATTTATTTTTCACACGGTATTTTTCTTGGAATTGTATTGCTTCATCTGTACGACAAATGTCAATTTTAGAAAGAAACAACACTAATACGCAAGCTTGAAAACTGCACTTGCACTACGACATCTATCAGAAGAGATACAATTCAAATGTTATTTTACAGAACATTTACATGCATCAAAACCTATAGACCGCACCACAGGAAAGGGAAACCCCCATTTGTCGTAACCAATGAACAATGGAAGTTGAGGTCTATAAATGTTCGCTCATTTGTACTATATACAGACACAAATTGGGTGGATTGACAAAACATGTTCGAATGTTCATACTCCCCAGATAATCCGTAATTCATTTGGCGTCGGTGAGGCCATTGGTCGGCAGTGAAACGCCTCACCATCAATTGGGTGGATTCAATTACGTCTGGTTTAGAGCACTGTAGGACTGTCAGTTATGTTTTCCTCTGTGGCGTGATCAAGTCAGACGTTTAGTTTGTCCAGTGCTTTGGGGGGAATAGAATAGGGCCAACTGTTCTAATTACAACCACACAAAGCATGCAGGGCAACTGGCAAATAATCTCAACTGTTCCTGCAGGATATTCTGCTGTCAAGTCAGACGTTCACCATCAGAAGGGACAGGGACACAAATCTGAAAATGTCAAACCGCCCATAGGAACTCTTTGAAATGATCTCTGACTTGCCGAAGTCTGGATTATTTGAAGCCTAAAAACAGCCGGGTATCCTCACTTCTTGTGTCGTCTTTCATGAGGTCTTTTGAACCAATCTTAGTCTGGCCCCTTGCCTGAGACCAATTTGCCATGGGAGACCCTACCAGGAACACAAGGTTCCAGACAACACAGCCCCCAGGTTCATCAGGGCACACAAACCTCTCTACCACGGTAAGGTGCTGGTTCTTCAGAGAGGCATGTGAAATGTTGACTTTATTTGATCATTTCAGTAAAAACTAACATTCATATTTCTCTTTTTGACTATAATACTGATGAACGTTCAGAACAAAGCACTTTGGCAACTTACCACATACGTTTTAAAATGCTTAATAAGCACCGTAACTTTCATGATATAATTTCTCCGTCATAATCGTTTGTTTCCGTGAACGGCCGACTGTTGTGACGGCAAATGCTGCGGCTGCAAGGCATTGTGTGGCAGCATTTTCTCCTCTCCTTTCGTAAAGGGAGGTCCAGTGGTTCCTAAGCTAAAGGAGGTTATAAAGGAAGTTTGAAACCTCCTTTCCTTTCATCTAGAGAATTTGAACGGCACTTATCATGGCTGCCACTGAGGGACTTCCGGGTCATTTCACTCCGTTAGGAAGGTTCCTAAGCTAAATGGACTATTCAACTTCAGCCCCGGTCACTTAGATCGCATGATGTAGTATTGTTAGATGTGCCAAGAGAAAGGACTGTCTTAGGTAAGACAGCTTTTATGCGCGCAGCTCCACTTGCTTGGAACAATCTTCAGCAAGAATTGAAACTGAGCAATCTCATTCCTCTGCATGTTTTTAAAGCTAGGCTAAATGAAATGCTCGTTGATACTATGGCCACTTGTAAATGTCTATAACTATGTAAATGTATTATCCGCAATGCATGCTGGGATTTGGTGTTTATGTGATGTGAAATCTGAAAACGTTTTTTAAAAATACAGTAATACTTTATTCCGAGTGTGCTTGCTTTTCTCTTTGAAAGTCATCACATAACGGCTTTGTAATACACGGTTCGGCTGCATTAAGTATTACATATCTGCCGTAGTTCTCTATTTATAGAGCCCTGCTGAGAAGACTTCTAGACAAACAGGAGAACTACCGCCAAAACTGAAGATGTGACGTGGATCATAAATATATAAGCAGTTAAACAACATCTTACATTTATTTTCACACAATACGTCTCCTTGCAGTATCAACACTAATTCGGCTGACTTTTATATTTGATCCAATTGGTAGATAGGCTGTATTTACACCATAACCGTGCAGAGCTGATAGAAAGGGACACCTGGTGGTCAAAGCACGTTATTGCATTATATTATATTATTATTATTATCTTTACATTACATTACATTACATTACATTACATTGCATTTAGCTGACGCTTTTGTCCAAAGCGACTTACAATAAGTACATTCGACCAGGAAGACACAACCTTGAAGAAAACAGAATCATATAAGTATATCAGGTTTCATAGAGCCACACATTTCAAGTGCTACTCAACTGGCTTTAGGTAAGCCAGTCCTTTATTGGTATAAAAGTGCTTCGTTAATCGTTCTAACGCTCGAAGTGGAGTCGAAAGAGATGAGTTTTCAGTTTGCGCCGGAAGATGTGCAAGCTATCTGCCGTCCTGATGTCAATGGGGAGCTCATTCCACCATCTTGGAGCCAGGATAGCAAACCCACGTGTTTTCGCCGATGGGAACTTGGGTCCCCCTCGCAGCGAGGGCGCAACGAGTCGTTTGGCTGATGCAGAGCGTAGTGCACGCGCTGGGGTGTACGGTTTAACCATGTCCTGGATGTACGAAGGGCCAGATCCATTCGCAGCACGGTAAGCAAGTACCAGTGTCTTGAAGTGGATTCTAGCAGTTACCGGAAGCCAGTGAAGGGAGCGGAGGAGCGGAGTGGTGTGGGAGAATTTAGGAAGGTTGAAAACCAGACGAGCCGCTGCATTCTGGATGAGCTGCAGAGGTCGGATGGCACATGCAGGTAGACCAGCCAGGAGGGAGTTGCAGTAGTCTAGGCGTGAGATGACGAGAGCCTGGACCAGAACCTGAGTCGCTTTCTGAGTCAGCTGGGGACGTATCTTCCTGATGTTGTAAAGCGTGTATCTGCAGCAGCGGGTTGTAGCAGCGATGTTTGCAGTGAAGGACAGGTTGTTATCTAGGGTCACACCCAGATTCCTTGCAGTCTGAGTCGGGGAAACAACTGAGGTGCCGATGTTGATTGTCAGGTCAAGAGTTGGACAATCTTTTCCCGGGAGGAAGAGCAGCTCAGTCTTGTCAAGGTTGAGCTTGAGGTGGTGAGCAGACATCCACTGAGAGATGTCAGCTAGACAAGCAGAGATGCGTGCGACGACCTGGGTCTCTGAGCGGGGAAAGGACAGAATTAATTGGGTGTCGTCAGCGTAGCAGTGGTAAGAAAAACCATGCGGGCTAATGACTGATCCGAGCGAGTTTGTGTACAAGGAGAAGAGGAGGGGACCAAGAACAGAGCCCTGAGGGACCCCCGTAGTTAATTGACAAGGGTCGGACTCAGACCCTCTCCAAGTCACCCTGTAGGTACGGTCTTTCAGGTATGAGGTGAGGAGGGAAAGTGCAGAGCCAGAAAACTCCAAGTTTTGGAGAGTGCGAAGGAGGATCTGATGATTCACCGTGTCGAATGCAGCAGACAGGTCCAACAGGATGATGACAGAGGAGAGGGATGCAGTTTTGGCAGTGTGCAGTTCCTCCGTGACAGCAATGACAGCAGTTTCTGTGGAGTGACCTGCCTTGAAACCAGACTGGTGCGGATCCAGAAGGTTGTTCTGATTGAGATAACAGGAGAGTTGTTTAAAGACAGCGCGTTCAAGTGATTTAGACAGGAACGGAAGGAGAGAGACAGGCCTGTAGTTTATAACATCAGACGGGTTGAGAGTGGGTTTCTTTAGGAGAGGGTTTACTCTTGCCTCCTTGAGACTGTTTGGAAAGTGACCAGAAGTTAGAGAAGTGTTGATGAAATGGGTGAGAAACGGTAGAATATCAGGAGCGATAGTCTGAAGGAGGTTTGAAGGGATAGGGTCCAGAGGACAGGTGGTAGGGCGGGCAGAGGTAATGAGGGTAAGAACCTCACTTGGAGAGAGAGGGGAAAAGGAGGTTAGTGTGTTGGTGGAAGGAAGGTCTGGTGACCCAGCGGTGAGTAAAGGTGAGTCAGAAAAAGAAGAGCGAATATCATTAACCTTTTTTTCAAAGTGGGTAACAAAGTCGCTTGACAGAAGTGAGGAGGGGGGAGGAGCTTTTGGAGGGTCCAAGAGGGTGGAGAAGATGGAAAATAGTTTTTTAGGATTGGAATAGGAAGATTGGATCTTATCTTGAAAGAAAGTGCTTTTTGCCTGAGAGATCGAAGCAGAGAAAGAGGAGAGGAGAGCTTGATAGGTTAGGAGGTCGTCACGGTGTTTGGATTTCCACCATTTCCGCTCTGCTGCCCTAAGGACGGTTCTATTAGCACGCAGTGCATCATTTAGCCAGGGAGCCGGAGGGGA